CTCTGTAATCTTTCATATTCCTTTCTACCATTACTGATTCTGTTTCACTCTTATACTTGTCAAAACTCTATTGATTCTCTTCACTCATTTTCCTGTCTACCTTTGTGTGCTATTTCGAACGTGGCAACTCGAACTGCTGCACTTCGATGCCAAGTTCTATGTTGAATCCAGACAGACAGATATGGGCTGTCAAACACCTGGTTGAAAAGTGAAGCATAAAATAGAGTGAAGTAGCGTTGTTCAGTTGAAGTCCTTTGTTTAACTAGTAACCCAGAGGGAGAATAGTAATAATAATAATAATAGCTACAAATATATATATATATTCTATAATTTTCTAAAAACAAACGTATCCACATACTTTCAAACAATAGTTTTCTTTTTTTTCTGATTTAAAATTTAAAGGTTAGACAAATGCCTCCTAAGAGTTAATAAATTGCTTCATTTCTTCCCCTTTGTTTTCCTTTATATATATATATTCCATCTTTTAGAAGAGGAACTTATTCGTCAAGGTGTTATGTCTGAGATAGCGGATTGGGCACCAACGTATCCGACAAGTCCATCTCCTCTACTCTACGGTTGTTTGGATAGAAATGAACCAAATCATATTTGGATGTCACTTGTAAGTATTATGTAACAAACTATTATTAATATTATTTTTTAATATTACTCTTTTGTAATTACCTAAATATGAGCGTCGGTGGCTCGGTAGTAGAACTCTCGCCAAACACGCACGTGGTCCAGGGTTTGACTCCCTGCCGGAGCACTCCTAAATCTCGCTGAGCCGGTAAACAGGGAAAGTTGGGTGTTAGGCTAGCAACTCACCCCCACCACGTAGAGAGAAAAAAATACTGACACCACTGCTATCGAAACTTTGGAGTTCTTGCTTGAGGACCCATGTTTCACTCGTAATATGTAAAGGAATATTTTCAAGGATTGATTTTTAGGGATTTTCTTTGATTAGTTGGAGGATTTCATCATGAGCTGACATCGGTTAGAGAACCATTGGAAAACCAACAGGGAGTACAGGACAGCTATTTCCTCCTAGTCTTGGGACTCTTTGGCAGTAAACACCCACAGCCGCGGTTCGAACACATGACCTTATGGTTATAAGGTGAGCAAGCTGGTAGATCATTAAGCAAATAGGCACGGGTTCAATGGCCAGTCCATGAATTCTAACTTCTGCCAATTCACGGCATAGCGTGACCACTTGGCAGGCTAAAGGTTGAACCAGTTAGATAAAATAATATAATTTACGAAATACCTTGTAATGGCTGTGAGTTGAGTCAACTACAAAGGTCAAACTAGTAGATCGGGAGTAGTGAGATCGCCTGTCAGAACATAACAAATTTAGCTAGGGCTAGAATGATTGACCTCACCCTCGAAGATAAGTAATTTAGAAAAAAGCTCAGCATTATATTGCACTGCATGCATGAACACACAACCGCACAATCGAGTGAGTGGGACAGAGTCAAAATTCTAAGAAGTAATATAGGTAGGTGAAGAGAGAGATTGATTACCGAATCCTGCCTGGTTCATTGAGTCTACATCCAACACAGCATATGCAATAGAAGTGACTCAACACAAATACCAGAGATATGTGTGGAAGATATTATTACCACCAGTCAGGCAAATCACAGGAGGATAATAAATAATGTTAGACTGTATTTAATTCACATTATAACATTCTAAAAAGTTACTTATTCCGACTATAAAAACATCTTATTTCCAATGTGATTGTATTTGATTGATAACACTAATATTATTATTTCTCGATGTAGTTTATCCTATATTACTGATTTCATTCAAATATTTAATCAATTTTATTCATGTATATAAATGAAGTCAGTGAGTTTCTTGATATGATTATGAATGGCAATAATTTGTGCTCAGAACGTTTTTTTATTCCTTTACTTTCCCAGTGGAACATAGGGAGGCTTCAAGCTAGAGGCTTGAAGTTTCATTAGCAGTGGTGTTTATTTATTTTTACAGGATGAGGTTGCTAGCCAGCCTCATGCCTAACCTCCTCTCTCTTTACCAGTCTTATTACTGGCTTAGCGAGGTAATGCAGTGAGTTGGCCTGGCGTCGAACCCCGAGCCACATGAAGCATTCTACCGCCATGCCACCGACACATGTGCCCAGGACGTGGTCATCGGTAAATTTTACTGTATAACCCTGTGTGACTTTATCAAAATGAAATTTTATCAATAAGGGTTCATCACTTTGAAATCAGTGTGAAGATCCACAGTACATTATGCAGCATAGGGACCAATATCCGAATTTTAAATACTAAGGTCAAGACAATGTTTTTATATAGTTCAGAGACTTGACGCATCACGGTATGCAGTGGGCTTTCAACAACACATGTCTTTACTGGCTAGTTAGTGAGGATCAGATGGTTGGCAGGGCAGAAAGGATATGCCATAAGGTACTCTATAAATCTAATGTCCAAGAAGTGAACAGTTGGAAATGGAGGTGGATTGGTTAGACAGATTGAAGAACGTTAAGTGACATCCCGTTACCAACTTCAGTAGTGGACTATAAATGGGAAACGACTAGCTGAACATAGTTGGCTGACAGTGGAATCCAAAACCTCCATTTCGTCCCATTTTATACTCTTCAGGTGGATATACCTATTCGGAGACTTGAACCTAACCAACGAGCTTTCCTTTAGCCAGCTGGATGATGAGAGTCACCCGTATTACCTTGAATTACAGAATATAGATATTAGATCATAGGAGCTATTAAAAAGATTGTTGCAGCGAAGAAAATTTTATTTTTGACGAAGTCATCAGCTAGACAGACGTACATTAGTGTATTTATATTGAGTGAGAAGGTTCCAGAATTATTTCTGGTCAGAGGTTTAATTAATAAAATTACTAAGTGTAATAATCAGGAAGATCAGGTAAAAAAGACATATTAAGATTATAATTACTGGAAAACCCATCATTTTGTATAATTACGGATTGAGGACGTAGCATTAACAAAATAGACAGAAAGTTCGTGCACATAAAAACAAAAAAAACAGTGACCAAATCTAGTAATGCAAATAGCAATTAAAAACGTATAAATAACAGAAATAAAAGGGAAGTTTGGACAAGAAAGGTAATTGGATAATCATTATTAGTGGGACTGATTTTTCATGATGGCCACGTTAGAGACAACGGTTGGACGTCTCCCTCTTGAACACATAAAGTGAACTTGCGCTGAAGGATCACCAGTGCCTCAGCTACTCGTAGATGTCTTGATTTCATTCCCTTTGATAGGTGTGATCAGATCTTGTATATGACTATGAAGGACTTTTCATCAAATGGAGCTGAATGTCCAGAATTCAGCGGATATTGTGTTACCAAAGTGTGTACACCTTTGTGTTCTCCTTTTGCTAACTATGCTGGATAGTGTTCCCGAGTGCATTTTACAGGCATACTCATGGTTCGGACAATATACTCGACTCCATACGAGAAAGTGAACTGGTATATGCAATGCATGTTAAAGTGGTGGCCCAATGCGACAGCTTGTCTTTCACCTTGAATTACTAGTTGATCGATTTTTATATATCGGACCGAAATACTTGAGATCTGTTAGTATGTCGGCCCCAAATACGGAATCTTCGACACTACCTTGCAATGATTAGGCTATTATTTATTCGATAAAAGCAGGCAATGGAATCAAGGAAGAAAAGGTCTTACCAAGTACCAATATGTCAAGGGCTGAGCTAAAATAATGTTCTGGTTGCATTTTTGTTTTATTCCTTTACGTTCGCAGTAGAACATAGGACGTCTTCAAGCTAGAGGCTTGAAGTTTCGGTGGCAGTGAGGTTTATTTATACGGAATGAGATTGCTAGTCAACCTCATGCCCAAATTCTCCTCTTTACCAGTCTTATTACCGGCTTAGTGAGGTAAAGGAGTACGTCCGTGGGGGGGATCAAACCCAAAACCACATGAGGCGTGGTTGGTGGCGAGAATTCTACCGCTGTATTATTATTATTGTTCCCTTGGGTTCCTAATGGAACATAGGGCTTCAGCTGAACGTCTCCACTTGCTTCTGTCCTCTGCTGTACTTTTCACCTGCATCCATGTTAGTCCATACTGTTTCAACTCCTCTTCACACGATCTCCTCCATGTCACCTTTGAACGTCTCACTCACCACTCCCCTTTCAGGTTCCACTCAAGCACTGACCTGACGCGCGGTGTCGCCCAACGGCCTCCTCAGCGAGTTTCCAATTCATCTCCACTTTCTCCTGCATATTTGTTGGGCGATTGGTTCTTGTTTTGTTTGTTCCCATAGTTTCTTTTTGGTTCTTGTTCTTTCCGGCCATCTGATCTTCAGTATAGAGCCAGCGAAGACAGTTGTTGATAATGGTCTGCAACAGGCTGTTGGAAATATTCTTTGTGACCCGCCAAGTTTCTGATCCGTACAGAAGAAGTGACTTGATGTTTGTATTGAAAATCCGAATTTTGTTGTTGATGTTGAGGAGTGACGAAGATTTCCAGATTGGTTTCAGGTTGATGAATGTGTTTCTCGCCTTTCCGATTCTCGATTTGACATCCTCGTCCGTTCCTTTCCTCCTGTAGTTGAGACAATGCTCCCTGAATAAGTGAATGAAGTAACCTCTTTCAAATCCCTCTCGTTGATGGTGATTGGCGTTGGATGTTGCTGCTGTTGTTGTTGTTGTTGGTTGGTTATTTTCATAACCTCCGTCTTGTCTATGTTCACCTGGAGTCCTGTCTTTGCTGCTTCTTCGACCAGTTTGTTGGTTTTCGCTTGTAAGTCTTCAATTTTGTGTGACATCAAACATAAATCATCCACGCGCGAAATCCAGGTCTTCTAGATGCTTGTCTGACTTCTGTGTTTACTCCAAACGCCTCGCTGAGTTTTTCGTTGCGGATCACGTGACATGTGCCGTTGTCGTACAGCTGTATATTGTATACATAAATTTTCTTTTCTTAATCTATTAACACTTCTTCCCTCTTTTCTTTTAAATAATCTCTGCATTTTTAGGGAGAATTCGATAAAGGCTATCTATATAAATGTAAACTAGGCGGTCCTGTACTGACAATTGATGAAGCAGTTGAAAAAGTTCGTAAAGAGAAGGCAAATATTAGAAAACAAAATCAAATTAAACATGATATGGAAGGTGGTCAAACGGATGTGGATCAGTCGTCGGCAACAACAACATCAACAACAGCTACAACCACAGCGACAACGACGATAACTACCGACACTAATAATACTGAACATATTAACAAAAAAGGCACTCATGAAATTATTGATCCACAGAGTATTACACTTGCTGATAGAATACCTGTCACTGAGCCAAATAAAGCAGTTCGTATGTCAGAGAAGAAAGATACCTGTGTCACATATTGGACATTTTCTAATTCTGGACATCGAGTTCTCATTGGTTATGATGATGGTGTTATACGTGTCCAGTTGTTAGAGAAGGCGTATGATTTAACAAGTTTTAAAGGTTATTGGATATTTCGTTTGCATGATAATCAGCGGGGACGTGTTAATCGGATAGCTTTAACGTATGATGAGAAGTAAGTGATGGGGAGTTTTAACTGATTATTAGTTGTTCAGTGACAGGTGGGTAGCCTAAATAATTCACTTACTCCGTTTTGTCCTCCCCTACGTAGAGAAAAATCACATAATAGTCAGGAGTGTGTATACATGATTCAAGGCTTGCAATTAGTTTTGTGTTGGTTGGTTTAATTGCGGAGCTTTCGTAGTTCACCTTCTAGACATCTAAATATGTTATCTTCTAGTGTAACGACAGAAGGCAAGGGTCAGGCAACAGATCATTTATTAAGGAAATCAACGCATATTTATATATTTCATGTACATCACTATGGATATTTAAACAAATAAACACAGTCTTCCGATTGCTTGTTTCTCACGTAAAGTTAATCTTTCATCTATTTGTGACTGTTTCTTGAATGTCAAATCCTCTATATGTTAACTGCATCCGCCTACGCAAAGTCTGCTGTGGTCGGTTTTGAATCAATCTTTGTTCACCTTTTCTCACGACAAATCTTGGGAACGTAAATATTGACGTAAATTACTGTCTACCAATTCGGCTAGTAGACAGCTCTCACCACACTAGGAGTCAGTTATTCTTACCTTAGCTAAATTCTTATGTTCCGACAATCTGATTACCCCCGACCTACTAGTTTGATCTATGTAGTCGACTTAACTCACAGTCATTGCAAGGTATTTTGTAAATTATATTATTTTGTTTAATTGGGTCCACCGGATCTTTTAGCCTACAGAGCTTGTCCTACTTCAGAGAGTTTGTAGGTTTGAATGCCACCTTAATTCCTGCCTTATTGAGAATCCTACGTAGGGTCTCAGTTGTCCCTTATGTGGTTGACCAATGAGAAGATAAGTAATTCGAAGAAAAGCTCAGTGGTTGCACTGCATGCATTAACACACAACCACATAATGGGGCAGGTGGGACAGAGTCGAAATTCTGAAAAGTAATATAGGTAGGTGGAGAGTGAGGGAGATTGATTACTATATCCTGCCTCGTTCATTGAGTCTACACCCAACCCAACACATGCAACAGAAATGACTCAATGCAAATACCAGAGATATGGAAGATATAATTAGCACCAGTCAGTCAAATCAAGGGAGGATAATAAATACATTAATATTTACTGTACACCTTGATATGATTATGAGCAATAAACTGTGCTCGAAACGTCATCAGTAAATATTACTGTATAACACTGTGAGACTTTATTAAAATAAAATTTACCCATAATGGAATTACACTCTACCACAGTGCCAAAGTTTTATTCTTATATCAAGGATAATAAATAATGTTAAAATGTATTTCAATTCACAGTATAACATTCTAACAAGTTATTTGCTTATTTGATTATAAAAACATCTTATTTCCCATCTGATTGTATTTGATTGATAACACTCATATTATTATTTCTGAATGTACTTCATCTTATATTGATTTTATTCAAATGTCTAATCATCATTTTTACTCATGCATATAAATGAAGCAAGAAAGTTGTGTGAGTTAGCAGCTTGATATGATTATGACTGACAATAATTTGTGCTCGAAACGTGGTCATCAGTAAATATTACTGTATAACACGCTGTGTGTGATTTTATCAAAACAAAATCTTATCTATAATGCAGTGAACTTGAAGACCTAATATATCTATAAGGTCATAAAGAGTGAGTGTATCTTCGATACCGTTAGCAGTTCTAAACCACATACCACACATGACATTGCTTATTTGCGTCTCAAAGACCCTAACCTGGCAGTTCATACTACTCTAGATGACTGGTTAAAACCAACTGCCATGTCTTGAGTAGACAAGCCCTAACTTTTTCCAATCTAATCCAAATGTTATCTAACATGGCTAGTCGAAGAAGATAGTGGCCTGGCATGTGTAACACATGTCCTAGCCATCTCAATCAATGTAGCTTCACGACCTCATCGATCAACTTCCGTTCTCACCCATATGTTGCTCACCATATTATGCCCCCTTAAAACAGGAGAGAGAAAGCGAACATTTGTGGTCAAAGACAGCTAGCTTTTTTATATATATTATTTTGTTTATTATACATGTTGATGCCTGTTTCATGACTCATGACTGGACAAAGTTTCGAAAACAAGAGATGTCCCCCTTTTTATATATAAACCTCTGTTATGTTAATTTCCATTAATTTCCCTGAAGAAGTTCGGACCAGATTGCCGAACGCAAGAAACGTTGGAATTACTCATTTCAGTTTCTCTGAGATTTTACAAATATAATTTTTACAAATGTTTACTTCTCACTCGGCGCTCAATTATTTTGCAGCTAATCGGTCAAATCTTGATCACAGTTCATATGAATTCTTTAGTATCCTTGCTGAGTATTTTTCAAAAATCAGCTCATTAAGGCCGATGCAACTTATCGAATAAGTAATGAGGCCAATGCACTCAACCACCCATTATACCTTCAAGGGAATCAAATCCAGTTCCCGATGAGTATATAAACAGGCGTCCAATGCTCCATCGTTTTTCAGTAATTCTCTTCAACGGATGTCGATTCAAGACAAAATTTCTATTTTAGTAAATCAGAACTAGAATAATAGTATAGCCTGAATTTTGATGTGGTTGTGTTCTCTAAGCTTGATAGTTAATTTGCGACGCTTTCATTGCCCCTCCCTACTAGACAACACATTGAGTGTATACTTCAGTTTGAATTAAAGTGAGCTTTTAGATTTCTCCATGAGTTTATTAGTCATCTTTCCTGGAAGATGACCTTGAACCTCGTGATTGGTTGTTTTCATGTGTTTTCACACCCTCTAGGCTACTTGTATTGGTACTGATTGTTCCCCTGACCTGAACTTTGACACTGTGTCTGTGACATTTCCTTCTTATCGGTTGGTAAGCTAGACATCAAAAGACATGACACCCACTCCCTCACTCATATCATTACATACAGACAACCCCGGACATCAATTCGACTGGGAAAACCAACGTTCAAATATTAGACACAGGAAACAACAAAAATGCTAGAGAATTTTTAGAAGCTTGGCATTCCAGTGAATCATCAATCAATAGACACATCGAGATTGACAAAATTTATCAACCGATAAGAAAGAAACCTCACACACAAAGGGTCGAAGCTCAAGTCAAGGAAACAATCAGTACCAAAACCATAAGTAGCCTAGAGGGTGTGAAAACACACAAAAACAACCAATCACGAAGTCCAAGGTCACCGACTAGGAGAGATGACCATTAAACTCGTGGAGAAATCTAAAAGCTCACTTCAATTCAAATTGAAGTCATCCGCTGAAGATGTCGCCTAGTAGGAGGGAGAAGGCAATGAAAGCTTCACAAATTAACTATCCCGCTCAGAGAACACAACCACATCAAAATCACCCACCTGAGCTACAAATCTTCTCCATCACATCAATAGCCTGAGCTCCACTTCATTCTATTGCCAGTCATTTATTTATTTATCCATTCTTTGTTTGTTATATTTTTATCCTAAAGATTTCTATTAAGTGCTGGAAGTGATGGAACTCTATTTGTCTGTGAATTAATGACAGAAGAATTACAAGACAAAGAAATGAAAGAATATCGTGCAAGAATTCCATCAACATTTGTAAGTTTTAATCTGAATTAAATAAAAATCGATATATTTGTAACGACAGAAGAGAAGGGCCAGGCAGCAGATCGTTTATTCTGAAAATGAACAGATATTTATAGATTTTTATGTACATTATGATTATTCGGTATTGTTAGCAGAGAAACAACGTATTCTGATTGGTTATTCTCTTGCTGAAGGTTATTCTGTACTGCTTGTGACCGTTTCTCAGAAAGTTAAGCCATATATCTGCGAATTGTATTTGCACACGTTAGGTCTGATGTGATTGGTTGTTGAGTTCCTCAAAGTTAGGATTTTGTTATTGTATTTTTTGTGACCCCGATTTGGCACGTAAACACTGACGTGAATTGTTGCCTACAATTTTCGGCTAGTAGACAGCCCTCACCACAAAATAATCTTGTCTACTATAGAATCGTATCCTACCATAATTTTCAAATTCTACTTTTACATTAGGAGCATTCTTAGTCGGTTTAATATATATAACTAAAAATACTGCTAAAAAATATTGTCATACATTTATTCCCCTTAATGAATTTGAATAAAGCAAGAACTACAGTTTTAGCAGAAAAAAAATGGGACCATCTTTTATTTTGTTGCCTTCTCGTCAGGTGCTTATAGGTCAAAGACATTATAAAATGTATCCATAGCCTATCCTGCAGCTAAGCTCGTCCCCATTTATCAAACAACTTGCTCTCCTTTGGTGCAATCAAAAATTGATAGATATCCTCCTCATGTTAACAACTCCAACTGTATATACAAATTTGCATGTATCTGCGGGAGCAGTTACCTTGGAAAGACAGAAAGAAGGGTAGATCTACGATTTTCTGAACATGTATCAAAAAGCTTATGTCTAAATGGAACAAATGCTTTCAACAGTGCCACTAATCGCCAAGCATTTCCTCGACACTACCGGTCATCAGGTGGACGTCGAAAAGTCGTTCAAAATTGTCAATAAGCAAAAGAGCTCAATTCTCCTCAAGTTTGCTGAAGCCATTTCCATCAAGCGCCTGAAACCAGATTTATGCGTTCAAAAGGAAGCGGTTATCAGTCTTTCTTTGCTCAGCCTGGTAACTGGATTTTTTTAAATTTTTGATTAATACTGACTCAGAACGTTATTGTTTTGTTTTCTTTTCCTTCACAGGATACCAGTGTGAAAGTTGATGATATAACTGATCCTAAAGCGTATAGTATTGAAGAATATAAACAGAAATCAGAATATGATCGTCTAATTGAACAGGCAGAGCAGAAGAAAGCAGAAACCAGACTGAAAGTTGCTGAATTAAGAAGACGTTTTAAAAAACTCAAAGATCGTAATGAACGTCTACCAGAAAGGATTCGTCTTCCTACCTCGGTACTTTTGTCTTGAATGTTTATTGTTTTTTTCTTTCTTTAAAAACTTCTGTTGTTTGCATCTAAAC